GGTCTGCTCATGCATTTGAGGCAGTTCAGTGAGACAGGATATGGTCATGTCTGATGCTTGCAGATGTGGTGTTTAACCTCCTGTTTTATAGATTGCCCTCTACTGGTGATTAATTGTCACTGGCTTGTGAAGCTGCCATTGTTTATCAATCTGGGGTGCGTTTCCCAAAAGCATCGTTTGCTAACTATGGTAGTTAGTTCCATTGAAATCTATTGGTAACGACGGAACTTGCGACCACATTTGCTTTTGGGAAACGCACCCCTGTCACTTACATTCCACAGGTGTGGCCATCACCCGAATCTTAAAGGCGTCTTCATATTTATGGTGGAGACATTTTTCCCCAATAATTTTTCAAGCATTGGCGCTGAACGCTTGCTGTTGTCTAGCCTGTAAACAACAACTTGCAGCATTTATCAGCCTGTTCAATTCCCTCTGCACCTCAGTGCAGTGCTCGCCATTCACCAGCAGGGAGCATAATCAGTCTGCGCTGTTTAGGGGTGATAGATGAGACACATAGACGTGCAGTGTATCTGTAATGAACCTCTGTGTCTTTGTGTGCCTGTGCATCTGTGTCTAGAAATGCGTCACCATTCACCAAAGGATGTATTATATGGACTTTTACATTTGAGTTTAGAGATAAAAAAATATTCGCCCAGCATTGATTTATTTTTCCATTTAATGGTACGTTAAGATGATTGGCTGAAAAAAGAGAGCTTTGAACAAAAGCAGTTGCCATTCATATTGGAAGTCTGTGATAAATTCCCTGAAAAGAAAAAGTTGAGTTCTCATTAAATAGGCAACGGTGTCTCACAGTCCAATGTTTTTAGTGCTAATGAGGTATCTCATTGGTTTCTTGTAATATAAATAGACTGCTCTTTTGGCCTTGTGTAATCTCCAAAGACACACAGCATCTGTCTCTATATCATCCTTCCTGCCTCCCTATTAAGTGTGAAAAGCATGAGAAATCTATCAGCAGTGTGCAGCACAGGTCTTCTGATCCTCCTTGACTGAGTTGAGGGGTTTGGAGGCTTGTCAGCTCACTTACCTACACACTGGTCTACAGAGCTGGCATCATATGTCTGTTTCTTTCTCTCTGTGTCTCTGTCTCATTTCTATTTTATTCCTCCATCTGACTATAAAACTCTAGCGAGCTGCTACTCTGCATGCTGCTTACATAGGTGGCTACCTACTAAGGCATCCTAACCATCATGAAACGTCATAAGTGACTGATTTGGAATGCTCTGCATATGCAGCAACACATACATGGCGCTCTTCACTGGACTCTAATAGTTTGCCGTTAGCTTGTTGCTAAGCTAACTGCATGGTGCTCGATATGCATTAAAATACACAGCACACAGAAATATTTGGTAAAATAATACATTTTTATTCACACTAACTATATTGGCAATACTTTTAAGGATTGAGCAAAGTAGATATATTTATAACGAACATTTGTTTGAGTGTAAATAGGTATTTGCACTTAGTGTAAATAGCATATTGCTAAAAATACTGCTATTTTCACTTAGTGTAAATAGAATCCATTGCTAATACGAGATTTGAAAAGGGAGGAAAAAAAAGTTTGGCAAAAGACGGGATCGAACCCGGGTCGATCGCGTCAAAAAGCCAACTGCAAGCGCTTTTCCATCTGCGCCACTGGAGCTGATGATTAACAATCACTTTTAACTAAATGTAAATAGACACCCCATATTTTTTATTCCATAGTAAGGGCAATTCATACAATACATTTAAACTGAGCTACTTTAATACCATCCCCGAACACCTCACCGTAGTATTCTGCCTTTAGTCACAACGCGAAGGCTGAGGATCTTTTTTCACAGATGTTTAATGCACTCTTCAACACAGACACCAACACCGTAGAACTAAATAAACAGGACGAATATATTAACAAACATCAGTCACACATTCACTTACATGGAAAACACCTATGAATTTTAAACTCGTAAATGAACAAAAAATGCATCCACATACCACTTTTGCCTGCTTTTGAGCTAAGAGAGTGATTGCATCTTTAAGTTTCTTGATCGGATGGCTTATAATCATGAAGAGAAACACCTTAAACTTTGCGATAATAACATTGTTCAATCTCTTCATGCGGAGTCTTGCTGAAATAAATAACAGTTGACCGTAGAAATCACAATAAGCATTATAAAATAACCAAAATATAAAATTTTACAAATGAAATTAATCAAAATTTACTGAAATAAGCAAGTGTTTAAGCAAATACACTGAGTTTGCTGTTAGCTTGTTGCTGTTGATAAAATGATACTCTAATAAGCATTAAAATTCATAGCACACTGAAATATTGGGCATCATAATACATTTTTTATTCACACTACAGTATTTTAAAATATTGTGCAAAGGATTTTTTTTTTTCACTGATCTTGTCACAGTGCGTTTTGGGATTGCCTTCTCTGTGAAGGATACATGTGATGTTTTGGCCAGAAGAGAGTATCTTGGCAGGTAGCATACCTTTTGGTTGAGAACGTGCTTATGATGTTGGCTTTGTTGGCAGCGCATTAGCTTTTGAGATGAAGTCAGTGCCAGCTTATTATAAAAAAACTTTTTTTTTTTTATCAGAAGGCTCTGTAAAAATTTTAATTACCCTGACAAAATTTAAATGGTGTCAGCACAAAAAAAAAAATTATTTAGTCATACATTTTTATGTTCCAGAAATAATATTGATATTTTTCATGACAACTATGACAAAGTGACAGATTTATAAACACACTTTCTCTTAAAGGGGTCATATGATGCGATTTCATTTTTTCCTTTCTCTTTGGAGTGTTACAAGCTCTTGGTGCATAAAGAAGATCTGTAAAGTTGTAAAGACTAAAGTCTCAAATCCAAAGAGTTCATTTTTCCACCCATGAACGAAAAACGAAAATTTAAGCTGAATTCTCGTTTCTCGTTTTTTGGAAAAAAACGAAAAAGGAGCCGTTTTCTAATTTTTCTACTTTCAATATTAAATCAAAAAACTAATGATCGAATGATACACGGATTTGCCTTAATCAACTTATTTTATTTGTCAAAACAATATGCATGTTTTTCGTGTTAGATCTAGCATCAGAGCATACAGTATATGCCCATAACCAAACAGAGCATATAAGCACATATCTCTCTCTCCCTTATATAATAACACTTTATTTGTGAATTTTAAGATGACAGAGGGGGGTAGATTTGCGTCAAGGTGTCAGCATCCTGCTGTTTGTTCTCTATGCAACTTAGAGAGAAGTCCTACCACCATAGCTGACTTAATCTGTCTATTTCAGTACTAATTGTTTTGGATCTGTGGATAAAAACAGAGAACTGGCAGCAGTCCACCAGCTCGCCCTCATGGGAAATTGTGAGGCTCAATGAAGAAAAAGCCGCATAAGTTGTCATATCAGGCAGAAAGAGGGCAGATACTATTGCCACTCACCAAACCTCCTACACCTTTCTACTCGCTCTGGGGATATAAATAGATCTTGGATATATAATACATTGTTATATTATGCATGCATGCCACATAAGGATGTCACTTCCAGTCCTGGCCTGTGACTCACTTGTCAAATACACTAAAGTCTGTGTGGGGAAGCATGGGCTCTGCATATTTCTACGGTTATTCCTCAAACTCCAATTAAGTGTCAACATATGCCACATCTCAGCACTTCTGTCTTGCGCGGTTTGGAGATAAGCACTGCAGGTTTGCGCATCCAAAATGCGGCTTGAGTTGCGGTAAATTTGGTTCGGCTTATTGCTTTCTTGGTTGTGGATTGTTACAGGGTTTATTTTGAGAGCAAATACATCTGTTGTGCCACTTCAGTGGGCAAATCGACCCATGTGCCAACTCCCGCACAAAGGGCTGCTGAGCGGGTGCTGAAGCTGGCGGGGCAGCATCTCTACACAGAGGTGTCCCTTCACCTGCCGTGACCCTTCCCTTTCTGGTGTCTTTCAGATGCGTCTTATCTTCACACACACAAGCCATTTCCTGTCTTGGTCTCTGCAACCCTGTCCACCTATGCAACAGTGCAAGTGTTCACACTCTCCGTTTTCTCATGAGTCTGGAAACATGGGATTCCAGGGGAAAACAAGCTTTTTTATAAGCAATTGTTAACTTCATTAAAGCATACTGTGCATCTACTGCTAGGTTCGGGTAATTGCTCTTGGGTTCTAGGTCATTTCCTATTCATACAGCCTATCTCTATGTTGTGAACACAGACTGACCTAAAGAACAGGGAAACAGTGGATGTTGTAGGTGCCTAATAGATTAGATCACTCAAAAACGAAAATTATGACTGAATTTACTCACACCCCTTGATCATTAAATTGAAGAATAGAAAATTGAAGAATTTTGCTCTTGCCATGCAATTACTATAAATGCATTATAAAAGTATTCCACATGACTCATGTGCTCTCTCTCTCTCTCTATCTATACACACACACACACACACACACAGACTATTAAGTACACAACAGTTATAAATATATTAAGCAGCACAACTGTTTTCAACATTGATGATAAGGAATGTTTCTTGAGCACCAAATCAGCACATTAGAATGATTTCTGAAAGATCATGTGACACTGAAGACTGGAGTAATGCTACAGGAATGACTTACATATTAAAATATATTCAAATAGAAACAGTTTTTTAACTGTAAAAGTATTTCACAATATTAAATTTTTACTGTATTTTTGATCAAATAAATGCACTCTTGGCCTGCAGAAGAGACTTGCAGACCCCAATCTTTTGATTTTAGTAGTATAAATTGATTTTTCTGCTGGTTTTGCATATTTTTAAGCTTCAGTGCCTTGGTGATCATTACTTAGAACTGCTTGGACAGGAGCAAACAGCATATTATTATAATTCACCATTTGTGTTTATAAAAAAAAAAAACGAAAGTAATACAGTTTTGGAATGACATTAGGGTGAGTATATGATGACTGAATTTTCTTTTTTTTTTTCCTTTCTTTTGGTAATCTCTATAATTTCTGTCTGCAGTCTGCACGTCACGGTGTCGGAAGTTCCTGATTTCCCGTGTGGGTGAAGACTGGATCTTTCTCATCCTCCTGGGGCTCCTCATGGCATTGGTCAGCTGGGCTATGGACTACACTATTGCCTTCTGCCAGCAAGGTAAGAGAGAGAAAAGAAAGAAAAGGACAATTTTCTGCCTGACAGGGTTCCATGAAAGTACAGATGGTGTCATTGAATCAGTCAAGTATTGTTTTTTTTTTCAGTTGGATATCATCATCATGTGTATTCTGGGATTGAAGGTGCATTAATGCTTGAACGAATTGGTGCCAACTCACTGACCTCTTTTTACAAAAGAATGAGTTTATTTACAAGGACTGGGGGTGTGACAGTTCAGTCAATTGACAAAAAAGCACAGAATTGTCTTAGCACATATCAAGGGGAATTTTTTTTAAGTTACGGCATTAGCTGCATCAAGTGCTTTCCACATATAAAAACACCTCAGAAATGTACAAAAAAAAACAAGTAGTACTTGCCAAGTAGTACATGTGAAGTCCTAGATATGTTATGACAGATGTGTTAAAATGATGTGCACTCACATGAAATGAAGAACCCAGTAGTATCAATGGCCCCAAAAAACTATTTTATATTACACAGGGCCTGTTTCTTCTCTGAGTCCACACCTTGGTCTTGTAATGTCGCATGGACTGTCAGTGGTTGTCTGCTGTGAAGTCTACATCAGAAAGGGAGCATTAAGGGTGCACAACAAGCTTTAGACTCATAAATTGACAAATGGCAAACAACTGCCATTGCAAATGTGCAAGAGCGCTCAGTGTACAGGACAGGGCCAATTGCTCATCGGTAAAGTCAGCGTGTCACAGCTGCTTGCGTTAGAAGTCCCGGTTGCTATAAAAACAGTCAGCGTACTGAGACGTGCGCTTAGGACTGCGCATGCGCACTAGCTGGTCTAGCCTGAAAAATACGCTTTTTTTAATGCTATTTGAGCAAATGAAACAACATTTATGAGACAGTTGTTGTCAGAGTTCATTGTTAATTTCAAATATAAAATGTAATCTTAAGCTTGGTGAACAGTTTTGGAGAATTTGAGAATTTGCCCATTCAGAGAGATAGGAGCTGCATTTGCATGCCCGAGAGGAGTTTCAAAGATGGCCGCCGAGTGAAATGACTTGCCTTAAAGGGACTTTGAAAACACCAGGGGGACCACTGAGATCATATTCAGCTAATTCAAATGATCCCAGTGATCATCCTATTAGTGTGCACTTTTGATTCAGTTAGGGGCATTTCTTCAATTAAAATTTAAACAAATCTTCTCTTTTTCATCCATGCCAGTAGGTTTCAGTATAAAGTTTTTGAATCAGTCAGGAAAATGAATTGAAACAATTAACAACTAAATAACAGTGTACAAGTAAATGTAGCTGTATAGTAGTCTATAGTGTGATTCAGTTAATGGGCATTTCTTCAATTAAAAAAACTCAGCTTTTTCATCCAAACCAATAGGTGTCAGTATAACTTCAAGACAACTGTCGAATTGGGTAGGAAAGTTAATGGAAAAACTAATAAAAGAGCACAAGTTTGATTCAGTCATGGGCATTTCTTCATTAAAAAAAATCGTTGCTTTTGTATCCACGCCAATAGGTGTCAGTATAAATTCTTAGACAGCTGTCAAATTGGGCAGGAAAATGAATTAAAAAAATTATCAACTAAATAACAAATCACAAGTAAATATTGATGTATAGTCTATAGTTTGATTCAGTTATGGGCATTTCTTCAAATAAAATTATATATATATATATATATATATATATCTTTTTCATCCACATGAATAGGTGTCAGTATAAATTCTAAAATAACTGGGCAGGAAAATGAACTTAAAACATTAACAATTAAATAACAAAGCACAAGTAAATGTACATGTATAGTCTATAGTTGTGTACCAGATGACTATACATTATGCAATTTTACTACATACTCATACCACCTAGTTTATGAATTTTAGACATTTTAGTAATTTTAGAATTTTCTGAGTGCATGTTGAGAACATTACGTGTCCAGCATTTTTTGGTTTATTAAGTGTATATCCAGGTATATGAAGTGTACTTTTTCTTTCTGCAATTTTCAATATGAACACACAACTCACTATTTATACTACAAATGGCATAGAATAGCGCACAAGCACACGCATTGGTACGCATATTATTCCTCTACAGAGATGTAATTATATTGTGTGTGTCTGTGTCTGCAGCCCAGAAGTGGATGTATGGTGGTCTGCACAGTAACATGTTGCTGCAGTACCTGGCCTGGGTCACTTACCCAGTAGTACTCATCACATTCTCCGCCGGCTTCACACAGATACTGGCGCCACAGGCAGTGGGTGAGATACGCACACACTCACCAATGCTCACGTAATCAATTTAAACCAAATGGCCTTTACGTGTTCTCAGATCTCTTTGTAACCCCCTTCGTCTTTTCTTCCTCTAGGCTCTGGGATCCCAGAGATGAAGACCATTCTCCGAGGTGTGGTGCTAAAAGAGTACCTCACTTTCAAAACCTTCGTCGCCAAAGTGATTGGCTTAACTTGCGCCCTTGGAAGTGGCATGCCTCTGGGCAAAGAGGTGCATGAGAGGGGATATCTGATCCTAGATAAGCGTTCTAATGCTAAAATACTTTAAGCCTTTGCCCTGTGATCACATCTGTTATTTCTATCTCCTCTTGCGTCCTCTAGGGACCATTTGTTCATGTTGCCAGTCTGTGCGCTGCTCTGTTGAGCAAATTCATGGCCTTGTTTGGAGGAATCTACATGGTGAGATACTTTCTATAAATGGTGACTTTTGTCAGTAACTTTCTGACATCTCATACTTTGGTGACACTTTATGATACAAACATTATTACAACATATTAAGCTTTACAAAACATAATTTACAATCAAATAATCAGAAATGTCAGTGGCCCCATTAAGAATTTGCACTCTTTTGGGCACTGATGTCACACTCTAAAATGTGTGAATTTCATTGTATTATAAAACAAATGTGCACATGTTCCAACATTTTGCTCTTTTGTGCACACGGATTTAGTTTTAGTTTGAATCTGCCTGATATTTTCAGACTCTTCTTGAAAAGGGAAAAAAAATGAAAACAACAATAGCTGGGGTACCATCTGCTAATAATATTTGACTGTACTTTAACTATTGATCAATTAAACATCATGTAATATTTGTTAAATGCATCTTAATGAAGTGGCCTGTTAATAATGACCCATTAATGAGAGATATTATAAAGCGTTACCAATGACTTGTGTTTGTATCACAACTTTACATGTCACTGCAACTGGAACGTCATGGCCTTGTTCTTCCAGTCTCATCTGCGTGTATCGTACAAACAAGCAGCTGAGGGTTCTCTAGGGTTTTTTGTTAGTCTGTGATTAGTCCAAGTACATAAGGTGTCGGTTCTCGAAGGAATTGCAAGCACAGTGAATAGAGCCGTTTGTCGGCCTTTATGTGATTCAATATCAACCTCCTGGACTCTGCCCACAGAGTAACGTGAGAAATCACAGCACGCTGGGGAATGGATCAATAACATGTTGTTAGAGCAGAGTGAATCTGACAGAAAATCGGAGACCATAAACATTGCGGCACATTTTAACTGTGGCACTGTAATTGAATGCGCTTTAATTAGGCAAATGTCAATGGCATGTTTGCACAGTTAATCAGGCAGTGGGGTCTGGGGTAACGGGCCGTGCTGATAATTATTTGTCTGACACCTCATACCTGTGGGTCTTACTTTTGATAGTGGGATATGAATGAGCTCCAATTAGGGCCAGGGTAAGATAGAATATTTTGAATTAAATGATTTATTTTTTGTAGATACAGACTTGAAACGTAAACAACAGTGTCAGTACTTAAAGTATTGATAGGTTTTGAAAGAACAGAGTGCAGATATTCACATGTATGTGTGTTATTTTGATTTACTGCTGAAGGAAGAGCCCTTTGAGGGAAACAAGGTAAGATGCAGGTATTATTATGTTTGGGTGTGTCCATGTGAACAGATTTATTGAAAGTGTTATAATGAAAAGAAAAAAAAATCTAATTTTATTTTTTTAAATCTCCATTTGTGGTTCTTTTTTTTTTCCTCAAGTTTACCATTTTTCCATTGTAATTTAGAGTCGTACTGGACTTCATCCTCCCTGGCCATAGCAAACCATTCACAAAGATAGCATATAGTGAATGAAAGAGCAGTGTTTGTCCATTTTTTTATTGTGTTCATAGCAATACCTTGTTCCGCATGTCATTGCCATGTATCCATCAGTGTAATTACCCTGTTCCACTTTTGGCTGCCTGTAAAATGCCACCGCGACATGTCATTTGAAACAGGATTTGCATGTATTTGGGTTTTCTTGTTAATCTGACAGAATGAGCTGAGAAACACAGAGATGCTGTCAGCCGCCTGTGCAGTGGGGGTGGGCTGTTGCTTTGCGGCCCCTATTGGAGGTAAGTCCAGACATTGCGATCATAGCTGGCCACTGGAGATAACGCCATATCACATTTATAACAGTAACATTCCCCTGTATACTTCCAGCTTTGAGCTGAGTTGTTTGTCGTATGATCTGCTGTGTTGTGGCAGGAGTGCTGTTTAGTATTGAGGTCACATCTACATTCTTTGCTGTGAGGAACTACTGGAGAGGATTCTTCGCTGCAACCTTCAGTGCCTTTATCTTCAGGGTGCTGGCAGTGTGGAATCAGGATGAGGGTGAGGGAAAAATCCGTTATGATAGCCAACACAGTCAGATGATTCAGATTTCTGACTGTCATTCTCTCTTCGTCATATTGCAGAGACAATCACGGCTCTCTTCAAAACGCGCTTTCGTCTGGACTTTCCCTTTGACCTACAAGAGCTTCCAGCTTTTGCTGTGCTCGGGTTTGTGTCTCACCTTTGCCATCTATCTCCTAAACAGAAATGTGATTTGCATAATTTAAATTACGGTAGTCAAAACACTGATTTCATGCAAACCAACATCCTTGTCTAAGAACATTTGTGTTAAAAATGTCTAAGCTCAGTAGAACAGTTTATTTGCAAAGCGTATACTTCTGCTTTCAAACATGTAGAGTTGTGTTCTGGTTGACAGGCCAGGTTCACACGTCTAGTGTTTAAATCCAACTAGTTAGTTCGTAGTTGTAAAATAGAAATGTGCAATGATCGTAGTTATGCCTCTTGTTTTATGAGATTAATGCTTCTTCTTATCTGTTGTTCTGTTGTTGTTTGTTTGTTTGTTTGTGTTTTTCTCAGGATTGCCAGTGGTTTTGGTGGGGCGTTGTATGTCTACCTGAACAGGATCATAGTGGAGTCTATGAGAAAACAGAAAACCATCAACAAGTTTTTGCTAAAAAAGTGAGTTTTTTTTACTGCTTCTCAACAGTATTTCTCATTGTCCAATGTATTTTATTTAGGTACTAGCTCAGCATAAATTTTCATTTCATGGTTAAGAATGTTACAAAAAATATTACTTAATAATAATTAAACGTTTATTTGTATTTTAGAAATAAATAAAATAATTATATAATATTAAATTATTATATTATATAGTAAAATATTTATTTTTTTAATGTAAAAGGTCATTTTTCTTTCTCGTGTTTGGCATCCCATAGAAGACTAGTGTATCCGGCAGTGGTCACTCTTCTTGTCTCTACACTCACCTTTCCTCCAGGGCTTGGACAGTTCATGGCAGGCCAGGTCTGATGTTTCATATTTATTTTGTGTCTCATCGAAATTTCTTCAGATTTCCTTCTCTGTATCTTTCTTCTTTCTACACAGCCAGACTTTTTCAGTCTTTCAAGTGTACTTCATGCTGATAGATTTATTTGTTCCAGATCAGTCATTATGCATTAAATAACAAACTGCGCTGCCTCCTCATTTAGCTGACTCAACATGAGTCACTAGTGGCACTGTTTGACAACCAGACCTGGTACAAGCAAGGTGTTGCTGAGGAGTTTGCATACTCAAGTCAAGTACCTCAGGCCTGGAAGCATCCACAAGTCAGTGTGTTCATCACACTCCTCCTCTTCATTGTCATGAAGGTGCGTCTCATCATATTATGTCAAATATAAAGACCATGATTGTTAAAGGAATAGTTCACCCAAAAATAAAAATGTGCTGAAAATGTACTCACCCTCAGGCCATCCGAGATGTAGATGAGTTTGTTTCTTCATCTGAACATATTTGGAGAAATGTAGCATTACATCATTCGCTCACCAATGAATCCTCTACAGCAGGGGTGGCCAATGTCGGTCCTGGAGATAAAAACTCACCTGCCTGTAGCTTTCTAGTAAGGCTTAGACCTTGATTAGCTGGTTCAGGTGTGTTTGATTAGGTTGGAGCTGAACTGTCCAGGACTGTGGCTCTCCAGGACCAACGTTGGCCACCCCCAGCTCTACAGTGATGAAGACAGATGACATATGATAAAAAATTACAATAACCCACAAGTAATCCAGTCCATCAATTAATGTCTTGTGAAGTGAAAAGTTGCTTGTTTGTAATAAATAAATACGTCATTAAGATGTTTTTAATTTTAAACCATTGTTTCCGGCTAAAATACCAAAAAGTCCACATTTCATAATATTTCTTCCTCCAGCAAAAATTCCATCCTCTGTTGTCAAATCAAAATCCACCAACCTATTTCTTTAGAATGGTGCTTGATCTGTGCATATTTATCTCCTGTTTTTAGACAAGACAACTTTTTCACTGAAGAAATATTATGTATCCATAATATTATAATATCTTAGATAGAGAACCATAGCCGGAAGCAATGGTTTGAAGTTAACAACATGTTGCTGGATTTGTTTATTATAAACACACCGGTTTTTAACTTTTCTTTATGCACCAAGAGCTTGTAACACTCCAAAGACAAAGGAAAACTTGAAATCACATCATATGACCCCTTTAATTGATGGACTGGAATGGTGTGGTGAAGTTTTTATCAGCTGTTTGGACTCTCATTTTGACGGCACCCATTCACTGCAAAGGATCCACTGATGGTGATGTAATGCTTAAATTATCCAAATCTGTTCTGATGAAGAAACCAACTCATCTACATCTTGGATGGCCTGAGGGTGTGTATATTTTCAGTGGGTGAACTATTCATTTAACAGCAATGTAAAACTCTGAGCAATATGTGAATGTAACATATTGTATTATACATCTTCTCTTGTAATTATTCTAGTTGCAAAAATAAATAAAACATATGGTCATATTGTCTCTGAATATCAGTCACTCAGTATTAACTTCTGGTTTGAACTATTGTATGTGTTGAATTGTGCTTATATAGTAAAAACCAGCACAGATTTGATTCGGCTGCAGGAAAATCACAGCCGTCCTGATTTTCACTACAGCATCGCGATTGCGAGTGTGATATTGCTTAATTATTAAACAGTGTCTTTGTTCAAGTGTGTGACCTTGTGGCTTCTAAATGTTTTCCTCAGTTCTGGATGTCAGCTGTGGCCACAACAATGCCTGTGCCTTGTGGGGCCTTCATGCCGGTTTTCCTCATTGGTATGTGATTATCGTGTGCGTGTGTTGTTTTTGAAAGTCAACACTGTGGGATATGCTTTTTTGGTTTCCATTTCAATTCACTATTGTATGAGCGAGCACTTTTGAACATTATTTTGCTCTTGTGTTCATACCAGCCATCATACTTTAGTTTGTTCTTAATGGTTGTTTTCCTTTTCCCGCAATCATGTTCTCCATTTCCATCCCTCATCACTGTCTGACTCACTAAAGCCTGTGTGTAAACTCGTGAAATCACTGCAGCTTTATTCAGGAGTCAATGTTTGTGACCTCATGTAAGTATACGTCAAGCACGTGTTACTAATTTGGTGTTTTTGTCACCCCCAAAATGTCATTGAATCTACGTTGTGAATTCTGTGTGTCGTACAGGGGCTGCGTTCGGTCGACTGGTCGGCGAGAGCATGGCCGCCGTCTTCCCCGAAGGAATACACGCTGACAACACTGTATATCCCATAGTTCCCGGCGCATATGCAGTTGTAGGTGAGACCGTCGATTGTGCATGCCTTCTCACGGATGCCCATTTGTTTTCTTTCAAAAGCCATCAGTTTCAGCCCGTCGTGGCTATATCTTATTCACACACGTAATTGAACCTGCAGGGTGTTGTATGCAAGAGTCATACATTTTTCATTAACCCACACAGACCAACAGCCAAATTAGATCTTGCCTGTGGAAATGGCTTCAGCGGTAGCGCTGCATTGTGCAGCGGAGCAAAAAGCTTGTCAGGAGCACAATAGGAAATCAGATGGCTTGCGGCGGGTGACTGCTACTGTAATTTGATACGAGATGAAATGGTGATTCCCACAGGGGCGGCGGCTCTTTCTGGCGCAGTCACTCACACCGTGTCCACCGCCGTCATTGTGTTCGAGTTGACCGGTCAAATCTCGCACATCCTGCCCGTGATGATCGCTGTGATATTGGCCAATGCCGTGGCTCAGAATCTGCAGCCTTCCCTCTATGATTCCATCATCCGGATCCAGAAACTTCCCTACCTGCCAGAGCTGGGCTGGGGACAGGAGTGAGGGCTGTTACGTAACTTCCCCAAATTATCACTCTCATATCATTCCCCTGGCTTTTTGAATGCTTACTCCCATCTCTCTCTCTTTTTTTTACCTGTAGGAAATATAATATCCGTGTGGAGGACATAATGGTGAGAGACGTGCGATATATCACTCTCTCCTCCTCTTACCGGGACCTGCAGGAAGCTCTCATAACAGGCCAGCTTAAAACCCTGGCCTTGGTGGAGTCCAAAGGTGAGTCATATAAAATATCTGTAATAAAGGTATATTTTGCAAAAAAAATCAGTTGTTCTGCATATGTCCTTCATACCACTATCACTGTCTTACATTAGGAATTGTAAGACAAATTTTAGGCAGTTTTCTTCCCAAACTGTCTTTTTTCCCCATTTTGCTCAATATAGAAGAGTGATTCGGCTGAAATAACTCTGTAATATCAGCTTTTGATTGCTGAACCATTTTCGGCAAGAAATGCGCAGTGTTCAAAATGAGTTTTCAATGACTGATGCCAATATCTAGAGAGCAAAGTAGTGTGTGTGTGTGTGTGTGTGTGGTTGTCTACTATATACTGTATAATACATACATTCATACAATTTCTTAAAAAAAAAAAAGCAAACTTGCTGACCTAAAACTATACTGCATATTAAAATTATTTTCATTACTTTCCAGAAAGGCTACATTAAACTGAATAAATGTGACAGTAAAGACATTTATAATGTTACAAAATATGGTCACACTTTATATTAGGTGGCCTTAACTACTATGTACTTACATCAAAAAATAAGTACAATGTACTTATTGTGTTCATATTGTATTGCAAAACACTTTTGCTGCTATTGAGGTGGGATACGGGTACGGTTAGACTAAAATAGAAGTACAATGTAAAAACATGTATGTACAACAGTAGTTAAGGCCACCTAATATAAAGTGGGACCCAAAATATTTCTATTTCAAGTTAATGCTGTTCTTTTGAACTTTCTATTCATCAAAAAAGTATCCACAAAAATATTAAGCAGCACAGCTGTTTAATACAAAATGTTACTTGAGCACCAAATCAAGTATATTAGACTGATTCTGGATGATCAAGTGATACTGAAGATTTTGAAATAATCTAAAGAGCGCCTAACCTACAGAAGAACATCTGACCGTTTGTACAAAGAGTCACATCATTTTAATTGTTTGATTAGTGCAGAATCTGAAATATTTGGTATTCATTTTTTTTTAAAGCTTTTATTTGTTTTAACTTTTTTCAAAATCCTTGACATTTGTTTAAATCAAGGTTTATATTTAGATTTTTTTTAAGAGTAAAATATGCTAATAGCGATTCTGAGTTAATATATTGCTTGACCACGAGAAGTGTACAGTTGTAGATGCCTGGGAAGTACAGGTCTTCTCGGGTCCTAAAATCTGTACCCGACCCGAATCACTTCTTGCCCGAACCCGACGTGCATAAATTATTTTTTCAAAAAGAAAAACCCGACCCGAGACAGACCCGATGAAATTAGACCCGAGTCCGACCCGACCCGACAGCATTTAATTTCGGACCCGACTGGACCCGAACGTAAACGGCATTGACGTGTGCACAGCCTGCAGCCATACAGCCAGTCAGGAAAATCCTGGCGTCCTGCTGATTTAACGCGAACGTGCAAGTACACATTCAGGATAGTTGAAAAGAATTTGGGTCTTATCGGGTCCATTTGAAAAAAAAGCACATTTATTTAAATTACCCGAGACCCGAGGCCGCTAATACCGAACCCGACCCGTGTCCGAGGCACTCGTAGAAATTTTGGACCCGAACCCGATCGGGTCTCGGCTCGGACCTCGGGTTTTCGGATCCAAGTGGACCCGTGAAGACCTCTACTGGGAAGTAAATGAGCTTCTGAATGAATATGAAGAAACAGTTTAGTTTAGGTGTTTGTATGATGCTTGAAAATGGAGAGTGTGCTAAAAAGGAAAATACAAGTGTGTAAAAATGAGGCTGTAAATACTTTTTGATGTTTTGCTGATTTTAGTACAGTTTCTTTTCCAGACATTTTCTTGATGTTCCCAAATGAAAGCTCACAGTTGGAAATGTAATCCCACAATTCCACCTCATATCCTGTGACAGACACATTCTTTACCTTCTCCATCTCCTTTCCCGCCCTCCCACAATTTCCCTTTGCTATCCCCCATTCCTCCAGCTATCCCGCTGTGTCTCTCTCACTTCTCTCTTTCTCTCTCTTTCTTTCTCTTTCTGGTCTCTCTGCTGTCTCCCTTGCCTGTGTCCCCACCTGGCTCCAGAGTCCATGATCCTGCTGGGCTCTACAGAGCGCTCCCAGCTTCAGTCCCTGCTCTCGCAGCAGCTCAGCCGAGCTCGCAGGCTGGAGTACTTGAGAGAACGTGCTCAGGACAATGGCACCCATGTGCCCACCTTCCCCCAAGACTCTCCCTCCAGGACTGGTCATGGCGTACGTTTCCTGGTATGAGAGAAGACGCTAGTGTTAATTACAATACAGGAATGAAAGGCATTTTTCCCCCATATAATTTTATATGGTCATTATAGAGATGAATCGGACATGGACTACCATTCAAAAGTTTGGGGTCAATACTTTTTTTGGTCACACTTTATTTTGAGGTCCAATTCTCACTCTTAACTAACTATCAACTATGACTTCTGCCTCAATAAACTCCTAATTACTAAGGTAGTTGTTAAGTTTAGGTATTGGGTAGGATTAAAGGATGCAGAATATAGTCATGCAGAATATGTGCTTTATAAGTAAATATATGTCTATTATTAACATATTGGCTGTTTATTAGTATACTAATAAACAGCCAATATGTTAATAATAGACATGCTAATAAGTAACTAGTTAATAGTGAGAATTGGTCCCTATACTAAAAACCCTAAACCCTAAAGTGTTAAACGTTTATTTATTTATTTAATATTTTTATTCAGCAAGGACGCACTGACCCCAGACTTTTGAACGGTAGTGTAGACTTGTGAAAATCTACGGTAGGTTAAAGGAATAGTTCCACCACAAATTAAAATTGTTCTCGCATGTTGTTCTAAGCCTGAATGCAATTTTTCTGTGAAACTGAAATCTCACATGCACTTTCAGATTGCACAAGGTTTTACATGCCAAAAAGCCATCAGGGATGCA